TAACTACCTACTTACTCTTATCCACAAAATTAATTGTTCTTCTGTCCTACTGTCCCCAGTCCCACCATGCTTTGGATAATGAAATTAGATTGAGACAACTTTCCTTTCCTATCCACAAAATTTAGCAATAAATTCGAGAGAATGGAAATATAAATCCTCATCTGTTAAAGCACGCACTGCATATGAAAATATTACTAACAGTCTTATATTGTCACTGAATATGTCAAATATGAACCAGGATTAATTACAAAAATTCTTCTCAAATAATACTTCTTATAACATTTTGTTCACTAATCTTTAAAATATAATATCTGTTCCCTTTAAACAATGAAGTGTTAACAAAAAAACATTATCCGTTAGGGTTTTAACTGAAATTGACATTTAATTTACTATTTTAAGAGTATTTTAATAATTTTATGTTTAAAATTTAATTTGAATTTAAACTAATTTAAATATTCAAAAAAAACTTCATAATTTTTTTTATTCTACTAAAAAATTCATAAAATTTTTAACTTATATTCAATCAATAAAAGATGTATCATAATCTTTTTTTTCTTTTTTTAGGACAATAATTTATCTAATTAAAGTCTTCCATATGACCAAATAGAGCAAAAATTTTCCTCAATTGAGAAACGAGGATAGAAAATTTTCTAAGAAACATATACGAAAAAATAAACTAGAAAGATTCAAGAACATCTAGACAAGTAATTGACTCTATCAAATAGCAAATAAAAATCATATTATTATTAAAGATTCAAATTATATTATATAATTTGAAATTTATTTTTGAAGTAAATCATATTTTACAATATTTTGAGTTAAATAGCATAATCACTCCTAAACAATTTATAATTTACCAAATATGTTATTTTCTTCAAACATTTTAGAATATGCTGTCTACTCAAAATGAACTAATATCTATCTATACATACTTAAAAAAATTAAAAAGTTAATTTTTAAAGAGGCCACTTGTGTATGGAGACCACATGTCTGATCTCCACTTTTTTTCTTTTTTATTATTCTCTATTTTTCATTTTCTTTTTTCATTTTTAGAATTTTTTATAATTTTCTTCTCCCTTTTTTCCGTACCTATTGCCTTTTTTTTCTTTTTCTTTAGTTTCTCCCACTATGCCTTGAGCAGAAAATTTATTTTATTTCATTCACTTAAATTTTTAAATAGCGACAGACAAAATATAAGATAAAATATACTGAATATTTTATTTATTTTTTTATATAAAAAAAGGATCTTATGTTTATAATTATAATTTATTAAAATACTTTTATCTAATTTAAAACGTGCATTTTTTTTTTTTGCTTTTTTATTCATTTTAAATCTTATATTTTTTAATTATGCCGTATTAAATTTTAAGATTAATTATAAAAATTTATCTTAAATTATAAATTGTGTATGCCTATTAATGTTTAAAATGTAACATCCGGACTGAAGAATAAAATGTTAATAGAAACACTTCTTCCGTTAAGATTTTTACCAGAAATGACACGTCTCACACATGAATAGTGATGACTTAAGATAATTACTCTTGTAGCCCACCTCTCAATTTAACACTTTTTTTTAAAAAATAATTTTCATTTAAAATGAAGAAAAAAAAACCCCAGAAACCATTGCTTTTCTTCTCCGTTCCCCTTTGATGCGGGTTCCCTTCCCTCGCCTAAATCGTGTGCTCGCCGCCCCCAATCCGTTGATCAATTGTTCCCACTACCGTCCCCTCCTCGACAAGATCGTCGTCCTTCTCCACCTGCCGGCGAGATCGTCATCTGTACTCGGCTCCGTCTTCATCAAGATCGCTGCCCACCTTTGAGATCTCCTTTTTCCCTCTCCTCCACCTCCACCACCACCTCCACCACCCACCCCCTCTGAACGTGACCACGCAAGATCCTCCTTTCCCTCACCCTTGATGTCATGAAACCAGTCACTTGAATGTTGCTCAATTTCCTCCTTTTTTGGGATTAAATCTGATTTACAAAAACTAGTTATAAATCTGGAGTAAAAGTCCATTTTTAATTTGTTAATGTTGTAAAGAAAAAAAAATCCTATATAAAGGAATTTTTTAACGTCCTTTGATATTGGTTTTTTTTTTTTTTTTTGAGTAATATTATTTTTTCAAAATGAAGTCATAAGCAAAATAATAAAAAAATTTATATCAAAATTAGAAGTTAAATATGACACTACAAAAACATCGCTAAATAATGTACCATGTGTTTGATAATATTTAAATTTCCGTTGAAAACACGACAGAAAGAGCGTTTATGTTAACGTTTTATTTTTTAGGAGAGCGGGTGTTACTTTTTAAACGTTGAAGGATAAAGTTATATAAGTGAAAAATTTTTGTAATTAATTCTAAATTTTACTTTTTAATATGCTCTCATTTAGTTTATGGATAATTTTTGTAATAGATGTTTTAATTTACGGATAATGTTGACAGAAATGTTAATTTTGACTAATATTTAGGAAAAAAAAATAGATACATCAAGAAAACTTTAAAAGTTTTTATTAAAATTGTACAAAATACTAAAACAATCAATATTACTTAATTTGAATTAATTTAATAACAAAAATAATAGGTTTTCTATTGAATATGAGAGTTATGTCAAATAATATAATAAGAGATTATCATAATTATATATGGATTATAATTCAAATATAATTTTACATATTCATTATAAACAATGAACAATAATTCAATCTGCTACATAGAAATTAACTATCAAACATAATAGAGTACACACGAAATTAAAGTGCTTACAGTGGCAAAATGAGTTTTTAGTAGTTTGGAAAGCATTAGGTAGGTTCGGATCTTGATTTAAATAATACATTTGTCAAGATATTATCCTTAAATAATTCTAGATGTAGTTGTTGATGTGCCAAATGTATGTTTCTTGATCTATTCCTATTGTTAACACATAAATTGGATACTATTGATTTATCAAACTTGATGACTACTATTTAGATATGTGTAATGACATTTCAATAGTGACCTGGTGGAGGATGTACTAGTAGAGCATACAAACCATCTTGGTTTTGTACTTTTAAAGTAGATCTAATGTGAGAACTGTATAAATAATCATATGAATTTTGCTCAATTCTTACACTCATGTAATCAAAACTTAAGGCCACAAAATCCTATCAGTTTAACTCAATTGAGTCACACCACGTCAAGCAAATGAATATAAAAAATATTATAGATTGAACAAGTGAACAAATCGGTTAAAAAAAATTAGAGAGTTTGTGGGTAGAATCTTTATATTAGTAAGGTCAATTTAAATCGTTAAATTTAAATAAAATTACATCTGATTAAAAAAATATGTATCGCAAACAAATTTTAATATAGTCTATCAATTAAAAATAAAGACTTTTCGATAGTCCATTTTTTTTAGAACTTACTAGAGAAACTCCTAAAAAAAATAAACAAGATAAAATGTTTATTAGGGGGAGAACAATTGACTCACCGCAATGAGTGATATGTGGCTAATTCCTATTTGTTCTATATAGTGTGTATATATATATATATATGTATATATATATATCCATTCATGTATATTCTGGATTTCATCACATCCATTTTGTTATTGTAAGCCGTAATTAGTATATTAGAAATTTGCACCTTCAATGGGTTTTTGAAGATATCATTTCTTGACAACTATATTAATGATGCTTTTTGTATTACACGCGGATTATGTAATATTGTAACTGTCCTGCAAGTCAAATATAGCATAATATATTTTATATATGAAGCTAGCTAAAGAAAAAAGGTTTTAGTGTTGAAATTCCAAGATCGAAATCCCCTCTAAATTGACTATAAAGAAAAGGGCAACAGGCATGTGAATAGTATTTTTTTTAGGAGATCTGTTGTATATGAATATATATATATATATATATATATAAACTATCAAATCAAATAATAATGTATTGTGCATACGTGGCTCGCAGTCGTTATATATCAACTAAAACGATTAAATAGGATTCAACGAGAAAAAAAAAATAGAATCAAAATTAAAAAAAAATGTGGCTCCGTTCACTTTATCGATTCGAGTTTAGAATTTGAGTTTTGTTACAGTAAAAAGTTCTCAAAAATAGTCACATCTATTTTTTTTTACAGTAAAAAACTCTCATATAAAATCACATCTCAACTCAAATTACAAATTCAAATCAACAAAGTGAATAGGTAGAGCCCACGTGCAGGTGTACATGAGTTGGCTCTTACGTGCTTTCAGGAAAGTCCTTTTTTCCTTTGTCAAAATACCTTTTTAATAATTGCAAACTTATCATAATATAGGATCAAAATCTTTCAACAATTAATATTTTCAAGTCAATTACAAATTTTACATTTCAACTTTGAAATCCACTCGAATGTGATTCGAAGTGAACACAACCTTAAATGTCAATTTTAATTGGTTAAAAAACTTTTTTTTACTAAGAAATATATTCAAATTAAGCTCATTACAATTAAACTCTCAGTCAGATTCAAATGTTGTCTTACCGGCTCCTTCTTTCTCTCCCTGTATATACTCAACGGTTCTCTAACATATACAACAAATTAAATACGTAATTAAACGAAAAAATCTTACAGTAAAAACTTTTGATTTTAATCATTAAATTAGTATTTTAACATATTGGTAGAGTGTACAATAAAAATTTATAGCGTGCGTTACGGAATTATACCTATTCACGGATCAGACCATTTAAAACTAATACAACAATTAAAACTATAAGTCCCAACCATAAACAGTTTCTTTAAAAAAAAAAAAAAAAAAAAGGAAAAAGAGCAGAAGGTTTGAGTCCCCTCCAGATCCGTAAAGAGGTTGTTGTCAAGGCTATGGAATTATCTTTATTGATGGTCTACCTTACTATACATATTATTACTCAACACGCTTTTCTCTCAAACTTCACTCATAATAATAACCATCTCTCTCATATATATATGAGAGATAAAGATTTCATTCATATATATATATATATATATATATATAAACAACATATGGCTTAGTTCTCTCGTTGTTTAGAATCAATGCCAAATCAATGATCTGTAAGTTGTCTCTCTTTCTTTCTTTTGTTTGTCTGTTTTTTTTTTTTTTTTAATAATATTAGTTTTCTTTGTCTTTCATCTCATTAATTATTATGTCAACATGAAATGAATTTATGATACCCAAATGGTTTATTTTGTTTTTTAATTTGTTTTTCAGGATTAATCTGCAATATTTTGGTGGTAATTGATCAAAGAGGAGATTATTAAACATGAAGGGAGCTGTAGCGGTGGCTATTGTTGCAGCCATCGGAAATCTGTTGCAGGGATGGGATAATTCCGTCATTGCAGGTTTCTCATCATTTTATTACTCTTTTCTTTCTTTTTCTTTTTTTTTTGGTTTTAGTATTATCATAATCATGTCAAATCATGATTTCCTTTTTTGGTTAGAAGTGATCAAATCATGATTTTGTCTCTGAAAATTACATATGTCGGAAAATAGATTCAAACCCCATCTAATAATTAATCTTCATTATTTGATATACTTTAAAATAATATGAGATATGAAAAATGAGATATATCCAATCATAATAATTACTATTCTCAAATAGAATTTCCGAGTGATGGTTTGATGAGAGAGTGCTATTATAGTAAGTAAATATATATAT